AGTTTAGGGCTTATTAGGGGTACTAAGTTTAGGGCTTATGAGGGGTACTAAGTTTAGGGCTTATTAGGGGTACTAAGTTTAGGGCTTATTAGGGGTACTAAGTTTAGGGCTTATTAGGGGTACTAAGTTTAGGGCTTATTAGGGGTACTAAGTTTAGGGCTTATTAGGGGTACTAAGTTTAGGGCTTATTAGGGGTACTAAGTTTAGGGCTTATTAGGGGTACTAAGTTTAGGGCTTATTAGGGGTACTAAGTTTAGGGCTTATTAGGGGTACTAAGTTTAGGGCTTATTAGGGTTACTAAGTTTAGGGCTTATTAGGGGTACTAAGTTTAGGGCTTATTAGGGGTACTAAGTTTAGGGCAGTTTAGGGCTTATTAGGGGTACTAAGTTTAGGGCTTATTAGGGGTACTAAGTTTAGGGCTTATTAGGGGTACTAAGTTTAGGGCTTAGTAGGGGTACTAAGTTTAGGGCTTATTAGGGGTACTAAGTTTAGGGCTTATTAGGGGTACTAAGTTTAGGGCTTATTAGGGGTACTAAGTTTAGGGCTTATTAGGGGTACTAAGTTTAGGGCTTATTAGGGGTACTAAGTTTAGGGCTTATTAGGGGTACTAAGTTTAGGGCTTATTAGGGGTACTAAGTTTAGGGCTTATTAGGGGTACTAAGTTTAGGGCTTATTAGGGGTACTAAGTTTAGGGCTTATTAGGGGTACTAAGTTTAGGGCTTATTAGGGGTACTAAGTTTAGGGCTTATTAGGGGTACTAAGTTTAGGGCTTATTAGGGGTACTAAGTTTAGGGCTTAGGGGTTTGGGGTGGTTTAGGGGTTTAGGGGTTTAGGGCTTAGGGGTACTTAGAAGTAGTTAGTTTAGGTTTAGGGTGGTGCCGGGCGTCGGGATTTGTAGGAGTTGAGGGCCGAACAAGTACTATGTGAAAAGGGTTTACCCGAAACCCCTAAAACCCTAACCCCTAAACCCCTAAACCCTAAACCCCTAAACTTTAAAGGGTTCTAAAGGGTTACTAGACTTGGAAGCCGGGTCTCCCAGCAGCACCGCAGGGTCTCCTCATGAAACTTTGATGACAAAAGCCGAACAAGAGGAAAACAGACATCCTCGCTAGGAGCACTTTAGGAGTCGGCGGCTGGGGAGTCCTGTTATGATTGAGGCCTTTGTATTAAACGCGAGACGGAAGTCTTTTCAACGTCATAAGAAAGCCATGAGCTTGCAGGCTGCAAATCCCAAAACCCTAACCCAAGCCCTGAAACCCGAGACCCTAACCCCTAAACCTCTTAATATAGGGGCCTTAACAAGTAGGGCTTTGGGGCCATTATACTTTAACTGTGATAAGGCACCCCCAAAAAACATAGTATAGGCAATCAGTATATAAGGCCCCGGCCTGCATTGTGTTCACAGTTCAGCCTGCGCAAGGCACTGAGAGGACCGATAGAACAATCGACCCGCGCACTTTTCTCGACGAGAACGAGCGGGACGGTCTAGGGCTTTTCAGGGTTCAGAGGGTTTCGTGGGCTTCACACTGTTGGAGGTTTTAAGAGTTTAGGCTGTTTTTGAGGGTTGAGTGATTTGGGCCGCAGAGCTTCAGGGGCTTGGGGGTTAGAAGCTTTAAGACTTTAGGGTTTGGGATGGTTCAGGGGTTTGGGGATTTAGATCTTCGAGGTTGGGGTTTATGGTTTATTCAGGGTCAGCTGTGAGGATCTGATCTTCGGGCTAAACCCTCTAGTCTTGACAACGTGGTAAATAACCCTCCGTATGAGTAAGCCTTAAACCCTAAACTCCTAAACCCTAGCCCTGCCAAATATAAAGGTCTGTAAAGCACGGTGTTTAGTAATCAGGCTTCTCAGTCATTCAAAGCCTGTCCGCACCCTAAACCGATTTTGAGTCTTGAAAGGTTGTAGGGCCACGGGGTTTTAGCAGGTGTTTGTCCTCCCCGCCCCAAAACAAACCACCCTAAACCATTATATACCTGGACCCCAAAAGTATGCAGAATAATAGCCTTTTATAGGTTTCGTGCCATTGTTCTACCTACTTTGGGGGGTCTAGGCTAGGTCTGAACCCTAAACACTACTGGTAGCACCCCATTATTCTATCTATTTTGCGGGGGTCTAGGTCTAAACCCTAAACCCTAGCACTGGGAAAGGCAGCTCCCTGCGAGGACCGCTGGGATGCTTCCGTTGGCACCTCCGGAGCAAGGCATTACCTGCAGCCCCAAAAGTATGTAGAATAATGGCCTTTTATAGGTTTTGGTTTAGGGTTTAGGGTTTTTGGCCCCAAAAGTTTATATGTAGAATACCTAGAGTCTCCATTGTAGTTCCGTTTTTGGGTTAACCAAAATCTCTATTATGGGATCCTAACCATAAAACTGGTTAACCCCAAAAAGGAGACTCTAGGTAATAGCCTTTTATAGGTTTTGCGCCATTATTTTAGCTACTCTGGGGGCTTTAGGTAAGGGCTTGCGGTTGGCAGAAGGATTGTAGGGGTTCTTTACTGTTGTACCATTGCGTCAAGATCGTTCAAGCCTTGTTGAGTGTCCCTGTTTCTTTGCGCTTTTTTGGGCTGATTACAAGGACTCCTTAAGTTGAGTGGCCTTAGGAGCTTTCATTTTTTTCGGTTCCTCTCGGCTTAGGTCGGCCGCTGGGTTCATGGGGCTTATGAGTTTATAACTTCCCTATTCATTAGGGTTGAGGGTTTAGACCGAAGTCGTGTTCTTCTTGTCTTCGGCGGGGGTGGAGGGTGAAATGCGTAACTTCGGGCATATGATCAAAACCCCAGAGGGGCCTGCATCAGGCTTACATGTGTAGCTCTCTAGCTCCACCGGCAGCGAGACAAACCATACGGCGTGAGTTATTAGACTAGTATTCCTCAGGGCCTTAATTTGTGGAATGACATACGCAAGGACCCCATTCCAGTTCCAACTGTGGAGGGTGCTCGTCCGGGGTGCCTGTACACAACGCAATCATACATAGCAGTCTCAGCATCTCAGCTAGTTCACACCACTGACGTTGTATGTACTGGAAAACTGGCGAATGCTTGCAAACAAAGAAACACAGGCGAGAGGGTACAATAGCCGGTAGCAGAACTCACGGCCTCCAAACCTGTTCTGCGTAAGTTCGTCAAGTCTTCGTCGTGAGCATTGGCATAGGCACCTACTGACGACCATGAAAATGCCGGGCTGAAGAATTTTCACCACGGTTCTGGACATCATCGACACTTCAGTCGCGGTACTCAGTATATCGAAACACTTGCTTCTCTCAAACCTTGCAAGACGCCCAAACTGTGTAGTCCCTCAAGTGTAAACCTTGAGCTCCAAACGGACAAAATCGCTTACACCCTAGACGTCTGAACCCTGAACCCCAGACCCCAACCCACCTGTGACCATGCGATGCTTCGTGAGCGTTGGGCTCAAGTCTCGCCACGCCGCCCGTCCGTGATGACCGGAAAGCAGGCTCGGCCCGCCTGTGCTATCGGCTTTTCAGTGTTTCTGTAGTGGCGCAGGGATCGGGGATTGAGGGCTTAGGGTTTAGCCGCTAAGCCAAGATCAAGATCAAAGTCTTTGCCAGCATGTAACCCTGAAACCCGAACCGTACATCCAGCACCAGGGATCCACTCTTGCAAAAGCTAGATAACCTTCGAAGTCAGAACAGCCCCTAAACTTAAACCCCGAAACTGCTTGTAAATCTAGAACCCCGAACCCCAAACATAACCCCTGAACCGCAAAGTCCTTACCGGAAGGCTTCGAGCCTGGCCTCGGATCTACGCCCTGAGCAATAACTGGGTTCCTTGAGGGGTTCCTGACTGGTGTTCTTTTGGGCTCCATTGTTAAAACCGAATAGTAGGAACCCATGGGGCTTTCCGAAAATAGGGGACCCTAATATAGAACCCCCAATAGTAGGATCCTTATTATAAACCCAAAAAAAGTACCACTAATTGTCGGAAACTCCCACATTCTTAAGGGGCGACTCAGCAAGCTGGATAAACTTGACAGCGAACCCCCCCAACCTTGAACACTCAGGTCACTAGGCCCTTTATCCTGTCATTCTTCATGCCCAATGAAACTGTTGAGTCCCTTTTTCCCCAAGAACCTCGTAAAAATTCCATGTAAAACCGGGTAAGACAAAGCATACACCATGGTCGAATCCTGCTGAAGCTTAAAGCCCTGTAAAACTCCGACAGCGCCCTAAACCCGAAACCTGAAGCCCTGAAGCCTAAACTAAAGCCTCTGCCAGGTCTGTCAGAGTACCGGCCTGTTGTCTGTTCCTGGCATCCCGGATGAGGACGACGAGGTGGAGGGTCTCAGGGCTTAAGCTTTAGGGTTTGGGTCCAGGGGTCCTGATCATTAGTATATAGCAAGCAGTATTATAACCTGCGGTTTCTTATCGTAGCTATGGTATAGCATACCCGCCAACCCTGAATATGTACTCCACAGCTCTCTGCCCAGAGGGGCGCTAGCAAGATCTCAGTTCTCTAGGGTTGGTGGGGTTGTATAGGTCTTTGATAGGGTTCAGCACAGGGGCTCTTTTCGATCGTCCCATAAGGGAAGTGTATGTATTGACAAACATGAGACTCGCCTTATTCATTCACCTGAGCACTGAGAATGTCGGAACTGCTTTGAATCCAAAACCTTAGACGAAGCCCCCAAGTTAGAATCACCCCCCCAGTGCCTGCTCTAGACACCTGAATAATCAATTACTACTGTGTCTTTCCTAAAGATCCCAGGGTTCCGTAGTGTCATACTACAAAGTCAACCAAAATCTAAGTATCAAGGCCCCTATAACACAGTACCGTTATGGATCCCTTGTAGTAACCTTTGTAGACCCTTTTTAAGGAACCCTATTCTGACTAGTAAGGCTATTGCCTGTCCAGAAGTCGTGTCCGTGTTTTTGAAGTCCTACACGTTACACCCGACTGGAAACCTGGTTGGATTTCGGGTTCGGGCTCCAGGGTTTAGGGTCTATGGGTTTAGGGTTTTTGATTTCGGTTTAGGATGTACATAGGATTCAGGGTTTAGGGTTTATGGGTCTAGGGTTCATGATTCAGGGTTTAGGATGTATATAGGGTTCAGGGTTAAGGATGTATATAGGGTTCAGGGTTTAGGGAAACCCCTCAAAATGTCGGCAAGTTCGACACACCAAACATCTCGGACAGGCGACGCGTGAGCTGCAAAATGGCAGCAGGCTGGCTTTGCGCCCTAGAACCGTTGAAGAAATATCGGGGGTTTATTCTGGGAGTGATTGAAACAGGGTACTGCAAATGAGATTTTGGTTGTGTGCCTATGGGGCTGATGGTATCAAGTGGACTTGAATAGGGTTGCTTAGACTTGAGGGCTCTTGGTGGCTTTAGTGTTCAACATGCGAGAAATTCCAACTTGGGCTTGCGTAACTGGCATATCCTTGAGGCCGGGTGTACAATAAAAACAGTGACAGCTACTCTGGGCTATTTGGGGTCGCAGGATATAGAATCAGCACTGGCCAAAGCCATAACCATCTAGCTATTACTTAGGACTCCTACATTATGCAGAGATTTCGAAGTTATCGGACCCTTCAGTTTTGCCGTACGGGAGTTCAGGGTTTCTGTAAAGATTCCTAGACTATACAAATCCCCATGACACACAAAGGCAACTACAAACACCCTCACAAACCCGGTAAACCCCAAGCCAAAAAACTATAGTAGGTTCCTGAGTAGTACCGTTTCGCCCTTTTTATTTTGGGGTCTCCTTGTTATCTGGGTGGGTGGGTCAACCGATAGGCGACTAGAGAAGCTTGAGAAAAGAACGCGGGCGCCCGAGCATGACAGGCGCAGCACCATCTGCAGCGACCAAGAACCCAAGGCTCTTGTCGACTTCTGGTATTTCAATATAAGGGACTTTCCAAAAATTAGGGGTACCTTAAGGTTCCTTTAAAGGGCGCTATAAGGGTTTAGAGTTTGCGAAAATTCGGGGTACCTCACTTGGGGGTCTCGATAACAGGGATCCTACAATTTAGGGTACTATATTGGCGTCCCCTATTTTCAGAAACCCCATATTATAGAAGTCTGAGATTTCGGGTTAGTGCCAGGGCTTAGACTCAGGCGCTTAGGGTTTAAGGGTAGACGGGCTGGGTACGTAACCTGTAACGTCTCCTCGGTGCCTCGGTAAGTGTGTGTGTGTATATGTATATATATATATATATGTATATATATATATATATATGTATATATATATATATATGTATATATATATGTATGTATATATATATATGTATGTATGTATGTATGTGTTTACATACACATACACCAGGGAAACGAGTGCCTTTTTTTGGTGCTCGGGTACTCAGCCTCTAAGTTATAGAGGTCTTCACAATTAGTACTTGTTCCGCGCTTTTCTGATACAGTAAGGCCGTCGACTGACGCTTCCAACCACAAGGTAGCAAGCACTCCATCAACGACATATGTTTTGCCATCGTGGTTTCTTCCCTTCCCGAAACTTCATGACATTGTTGCGGTCGGGATACACAGTTTTCATCCCTTTAATGTAGACGCCTGATGAATAACTCCATCGTCATTATGATCCCTATGCGGATAGCCCAGATCCTAATGCTGTGCCGTTCTTGCCCGGCAGCCCTAGCTTAAACAGGTTGATTAACATGAGGCACACAGTTCAAGCCGTAGCTCAACTGATCTTAGAGCCGCACAAATAGGAGTTCAGCGCGTAGGGGTTTCGGATGTAAGGATCCGACTAGAAGCATATCATGCCCCTCGTTACTTTGAGTTTGAGGGGTTCACCAGCAGATACGTGTTAGGTCTCGGTGTTCTTTCTATGTACAGAGCGCCTACATGATGTTTGATTTTTGTAAAGGCGAGGGGCTCGTGCTATTGACAAGGCTCCTTTTGGCCTTAGTCACAAGCTGCTGAGTACGAATCAGGCACGGCCGAAATTGAGCGAGTATGTGGACAAGCAGCTTGGCTAGGGATTCAGGCTCAAGACCCAAACCCCAAACCCCTGAACCTCCACAGTAGTTTGGGCATTTAGAGTGTTTAGGACTTGGGGTTGTGCTCAAGCTCCGGGTCTGCAGATCTAGGGTGTAGGACGCAGGGTCTGTGGATTCTGCAAGAAGGTGCAGCTTCAGGTTTACAGGCTCCGTAGCCCAGTAGTACTGCTGTGTCCTTGTACGTGTAACATGGTATCTTAGGGTTGCATTCAGACTAGGAAAAGGGTTCTTTTGAAATCGGGTGCTCGTGGGGTGCATCTAGGGTTTGTAGGGCTTTGGATATGAACATTCGGGGTTAAGGGTGGAGGGTTGGGTGAGGGTTAAGAGGCTATGGCTCTGGGCCCTGGGTGAAAAGTTCTCGTGCTGCAGGGTTTGGGTCGGTTAGGCTTTTGGGCTTCAGAGTTGTAAGATTGTTTAGTACGTATTTGGTTTTCGGGTCTTAATCATGAGGCCAAATATAGATTGTATAAAGGTACCCGACGAACAAGTAGGTCGTGGATTCTGGGTGCACTTTACACACCCTGATGTATCTTCATTGGTGCCATGCCTTACAGCCCACAATAATCGATAGTTGAGGGCTTGATATGGGAGTTTCCGAAAAGAAGGGACCCTAATATAGTACCCTAAATAACAGGATCCTTATTACAAGGACCCCAAAAAGGCTGATTTCGCATTGACGGCTTGCTAAGTTGCTTTTTTTTGTGTATTCTAGGCTTCAGGGCTTCTGGCTTCTTTTTCGCGACTAACATGAGGTCCTAGTACGCAGCTAGGATCCGCATGGCTTGGGATCCAGTTTTACTCTACTATGTAGGGTCCAAAATTTTGGCTGTTGCTTATATAATCAGTTTTTGAAGTCATTCCGGTTATCTGCTCATAAGGTATGGTTTCTGACATTAGGATATCTGAAGTAATGGGCTTGGTACCATGAGCAATGCATAGTAGCTGTAACTACCTTGTGCTATTTGGAGCCCGAGGGCTCTACAAACGTCCAAGACCCTTACAAGCTTTATCCGGAACTGTGCCTGCCTGCAAAGGGCGGACCGCACCCGCATCGACGATTGATTGATGAACGATCAGAATCCCAACAGTAGGTATGGAAACGCAGCGTGGTATTGCTTCCGATAAGTATGGAACCTATCGTTTCTTCCCATGAGTCGCGGTACGGTACAGTATTCCTTTACGTAGGCCTCACCCCTACACGGCCACACCCTACACCTACCCAACCCCCCAACCCTGCACCCACCGCAGACACAAACATCCGTACCTCCCTACATACACACCTACCCCTACCCCACCGACACCTAGCGGCGCTATGCACACAACTTTCGATTATTACAGCCCAATCAAAGTCGTGGAAAAGCCAGCAACCACAACAACACGCCCCTCTCTCACCTTAATCTTTAAACCTTACAGACTTACAGCCCTTTAGCAAACGCAGAAAGCCAAAACTAGCCTTCGAACCCCTGAAGAGCGCGGAAGCCCGAAGACACTGCCTAAACCCAAGGCCCCGAAATCCTAAACCAGCCCAGCCCAAGCCCCTAAACCAGTAAAAAAACCCTCCAAACCCCTAGATCCCCACACACCCCAACTTTTAAGCTTCTAAATCCGAAAAAACCCTAAGCCTTTTTTTTTGACCTCTTAGCCCCTAAGCCCCGACACCTCGACGCCCTAAGCCAGCAAGCAGGCTAGAGCTGGCTCTGTCCAAATGCCGTGGCCTCAGAGGAATGGGAGTTTCCGAAAATTCGGGGTACCTTATTTTGGGGTCCTTTCAAAAGGGGTCCTACTATTTAGGGTACTATCTCAGGGAAATGTTTAGTCCTTATTTATAGGTTTTGGTACCCACTCCCAGCCCCAAACCCCGCAGTCACCATACCCGCAACCCTCAAAGACTTCATAAAACCCGCAGGGAAGCCTCTACAACGCCTTTAAACGCCTTTTCACCATTGAGACCCCTATAAACCTTCGAGAGCCCTTCAAGAATCCCTTGAACAACAAACACCCACAACATGCTCGAAGCCTAAACCCTAAACTCCATTAAGCCGCTACTTGAGCCCTTATGTATCCTACACCCTAAACCCTCACGTAACCTCCGTAAAACTCGTTGAAGCCGTTTGAGAAGCCTAGAAACCCCCTCCAAGCATTGCAACGCGAGGTCTGTCAGACTACCGTGCTCAGGCGCCGTGGTCGCGATTGAGGGTATACAGACGTCGCGTTCCGGGTTTATGGTTTAGGACAGGTTCAGCTTTGTGTTAGAGGATATGTCGGGTTTTACGTTTTGTTTTAGGCTTTGGCAGGGCTTTATCAGCAAGAGACTTTGCGAGAGATAGTGGATTCATGAACATGGTTTGCGACGAATAATCCTTGAGCGTGGGTCTTGGAACTCCCCAGCATCGATAGTGAGGATTTGACAATTGTTGGTGGCACTTGCCATGGGTCGCTACAATTCGGACATCTTGGGCTGACCGGTGTACATGCGGGCTAGCTTCGAGCCAAATCGCTGGACAACTTCCGGAAGCGACTGCCGCAACTTCAGGAAGGCCTATTCTTAGACGACCCCTCTCACATCGATTGGACATAGCAGACATCAAAAGCTGGGTCACCATCGATGAGGATGGCAGACCGATGTCCGGTACAATGACGCTCAGATCCTGAGAAATCAATTCTGTGCCATCGCATCCAATGAGAAGGGAGACGTGATGAGCCCAAACTCAGAGCGTGTGATTCTTAAGAGCAGCTGAGGCTGATGATTAAAATCAACAGCAAGACCGGATGACGTCGAGGACGTCACACCCACGACTGTTGAGCCGGAGGCCTTCATGAAACTGATCAAGCCCTTAAGGCCTCTGCGAACTGTTAAGGCCTTTATAATGGTCCCACCTCAAGCACTTCAAAGGACTTCAAAATTGAGCCATACCACAATAAGTCGGTTTTAATCCACAGAGGCGTGCAGGTTGTGGTGGTGGTAGGTGATATAGAAGCCTGAATGATCTGTAAGATCATTCCCTTCTAGACTATATATGCAATCATACCATGACACACACAAGACTACACCGCATACCCCAAAGATCGATTTTACTTTGGGAGATCACTGTCTTGCCACCTGAAATCCTAAACCTTATAATATAAACTTAAACCTTATAAACCTTAAACCCAAAAGAGCTCATGGGGTCTTAGGCCTAAGGCCCCAGAGTATTCGGCGGGGGGGGCTGTGGCCCTCAACCAATCACCCCAACATAGACCCCAAAAGCCAGAACCCCCCACACCCTAGACCCCTTGGCCCCCCCAATCTTAGGGCGAAGTCTTTAGGGTTTATGGGTTAACAGCTAGGGTCTGTAGGGAACTTTAGGGTATTTAATTTTAGACACTCTCAGGGCAGAATCATTAGGGGTTTATGGGTTAACAGCCAGGGTCTAGGGAACTGTAGGGTATTTTGGGGCGAAATCTTTAGGGTTTAAATGGGTTAACAGTTACAGAGTCTTGAGGGAACTTTAGGGTGTCTAGACCTCGGGTCTTGGAATTACGTGGGCCCGATTGGGTTGCCAACTGGCCCTTGGCTTCACTTGGGTTAGCGGTTTAGGGGGAGTAGGGTTTAGGGTTTAGGGTTCTGTTTCACATCTAGCAGAATCTAGCACTTTAGTTTTCTCGATCTTTGCATTCTATCTGCAAACGCAGTTCTGAAAGTCTGCACAGAAGTCAGCAAAGGGTGTTTTGCAGTGGGTCATCAAAGTGCTGAAGGCTTGGTGCCATGTTGGGTTTACCATGTTAAGGTTTCGAACTCAGAGTTTCGGGAGCAGTCGTAAACGATCTGGGTCACTCTATATGAGCGACTGTCAGGCCAAAGTGTTTGCTCTAGAGGGAAGTGCCCCCACCTTAGGTTTGTTAAACATGGAGATGGGTTTAGTCTTAATGCCTATAGCCGATATCATGCCTTGCAAGTTCCCCCTTCGTGTAGGAAGGTTTGGGGAGTTGGGGAGTTGAGGTATTTGTTGGATAGATTTGGTAGTGTCGTCGCAGAATGCCTTTGTCCAGGCTGAAGATGTTCTGGCAGAGCACCTCACAGCCACTCGTATCAAGAAAACGAGAAGATAATGAAGAGAAGAAATGATGGCCGCTGCCGCAGCAGTAGCAGTAGGTAGAGGTAGTAGGTAGGCAGCTTTGGCAGTGGCGGCGGTGGTGGTGGTGGTTGCAGCATTAGTAGTAAGAGGAGCAGCAGCAGCAGCAGGAGTAATGGTCGCGGTCGTGCTCGTGGTCGTGGTAGCTGTTCTTGGTGGTGGTGGCTGTCAGCAGTGGCAGCGGCCGTGACGGTAGCCGCAGCCGTAGCAGTAGCAGCATTGGATGCCACACACTCTCGGTGCATATTGCTAGGTATGCCGGGTATGCAATTTATAGGAACAAGAGCTGCTCTTGTGTACATTCTAACTTTACACTGAGTGAAGCATGCCATGTGTTATCGGAAGGACCAAGGAACGCTCCAACATAGCCCTGGGGCACAATGAGTCTCACGACTAAGCCTTGATCCTTGATAAGCCTCACAACCCTCAACCCTAAAACGACACCGTGAGCCTGGGTAGCCGCGGTAGCCCCGTAGTACCCATCGAGACTTTCTACCCCCAGCTTTAAGGGATTACTGGGAACCTGGGAGAAACCATCGAGCGCATGGCTGAGGCTTTGGAAGACATTCAGACGGCGTATGAGCTCCTCGGGCGTAAGCCGATGGTTTTGGTGTAGGCGGTTTGGTTTTCGGTAGGGCCGGATGCTTTGGGGGGTACGGTTCGTCATGAAAGTAAGGGTTCAGGAATGCCCTATAAAGTATTGAATTCGCTAACCCCCATCTCGCAAAACCCTTCATAATCTGAGCATTCATAGCACATTTCCGATTAGTGGAAGGGGCGGGGTTATTATTCGAGGGTCTTGATTATGCGGTAACCAAGTGACAGTGTGGATTCTGCAACATCATTGGAGCCTCAACTCCAAATCCTCAGCCAGGCTAAACCTTGAACATTGCCTCAACACCCCTAAACCCCAAACGCCCTGAACCCTCAACCCTAAAGCAAAGCCGCTCACCCCGAACCCTAAACCCCCCAACCCTAAGAACCCTAAGCCTTTGAAGCCCCAATAAACCTAAAAGCCCTACGCCCTAAGCGTTGAAGGCACGAGCTCGCCGGCATGCAGCTGGAGAATCAAACGCTGCGGGGTCGACTTGGACTGAAAAGCCTCTCCGACAGCAAAGAACAACCTATAGGGCTCCAGCTACTATAGGGGCCTTACAAATTCGGGGCTCCTTCTTATAATTATAGTATAGTGGGCCCCATACGTGGCCCAAACAGTGTGTTTTTGGGTTATCTCATGAATATGATTGTAACCTGCTATTTAAGCAACTGCATGGAGCCCTAAGAATATCGGCGCCCTTACTGATCAGATAGGTTTGCTTTTAAGGGCTTACTACAATCAATGATCAGAATACGATTCCTTTCAAGGGCTTGCTTTCAAGCTTGCTATAGAAGGCCATGACGGTAAGTATGGGGGCTTAATGATGATAAAAAGAGGGTTCCTTCAAGGGTTACTGGCCCTTATGATTGGAGCAGGGTATCGGGTTGTATATCGGCTATTGTAGTCAACGCTCATATAAACATTTACAACCTGGTCGCTTTCAGAGCATGCATGGCTACAAGGTTCTTTGAGTTTTCTGTGCGCGGCTTTATGCAGACATTCTCTGGTTTTTAGGATTGCAATTGATGTGGTTTGGATTTTGTTTGGTTCGAGGCGCTCTTTCGTTACCGTAGGGATTCAATTGACCTTCTGGGGTTTATAGGGTTTGTGTCAGCAGATTATGACGTAGGGTTACATGCAGGGTTTGTCGACAAATAAGTACGACTCGTATTTCCGAATATTGCTGTCTTTCTCGGCCATGTTTCTGCAAGCAAGGTCCAGACGACGTGCAGAAGGTTCTCTTCCAAACAGCCCGTACTGCGGCGACGGGCGGCAGGTGCGAGACAAGACTGGGTTTTGATTATTGGATCAAGGTTTCGGGACATGTTACATCCTTAGTACTATAGTCTGTTTGTGCACGGCCTATGAGGCAATACTGTTCAACCTCTCAACTACGGACCTATACCATGCACTAGGAACTGTGACAGCAAGGGCTGCGAAACCCGAGATGGCATGTATAGGTCTTTATTATGACCCAACTGACCATTACCCTAAACCCTAAACCCTAAACCTTAGCCTGTACGAAGGCAAAGGCTCGTTTACGTTCATGCGGTCTTCGTTCGACAAATCCTAGCCCCAACTCTACTCTACACCTGAAAGCCTAGACCCTTCTTTGAGCTCGCCATGTATAACTTCCTGCAGACCCTGGCCCATAATTACTGCCTTTTGACATGGAATATGCTCTAAGGCCCATGAAGCCATACATAGAAGCCTGTAAACTACTTTTGAAGCCCTAAAATCCTTATACAAACCTCATGAAACCCTGAAACCTAAACCCCTAAAACCCTAAACCCTTAAACCCTAAACCCCCAAACCCTACACCCCTAAACCCTAAACCCCTAAACCCTAAACCCTCATGAAACCCCTAAAGGCGGCCCTCGCGCGGGGGGCGACCCCAGCTTGTGGATGAGTCGGAGAGCCCCAAGAACCGCGTAAGCACCGTCAAGTCGCACCTTGACCTGTAAGGGTTCAGGATTTAGGACTTTATAGTCAAACACGTCTTTTTAAATATGGGTTTAGGATGGTTTAGGGTTCAGGGTTTAGGATTTTGCAGGGGTTTAGAGGTTCAGGGTTTAGGTGTTTAGGACTTGCTATTGTTCGGCTTTGAGTAGGTTCGGGTTGAGGGTTCAGGGTCGGAGGGATTTAGGTTGAGGTTGGTGGAGGTCTGGGGTTACCGGTTCGAGTTGAGGCTCCAAGAGATATGGAGGCGTTTGGATCAGAGCTGGGCTCTTAGCCTTAATTGGGAGTTTCCGAAAATAGGGGACCCTAATACAGTACCCTAAATACTAGGATCCTACTATAAGGACCCCAAAATAAGGTACCCCCTATTTTCGGAAACTCCCAATTATGAAAGGATGGGGGTTTTGGGGTGGTTGTAATAGCATGGGTAGACTCAGGAGCCCTCCCTTAACCCCGAAGAACCTACCCTTTTTCAGGACTTATGTAAGGAAATCATGATAAGAATTCCTAAAAAGGCAGGTTCTTCCTGACAAGTGTTGCTGCTAGGCTTGACGGCGAAAGGTCGTGCGGTTGGTTTGGAGCCTGTCTGGTTCTCGGGAGGCTTTGATTGTCAATTCCTAAACCCTAAGCCCATAAACCCCTAAACCCTAAACCCCTAAACCCTAAACCCTAAATTTCACTTTCAAGGCTTTTCCTGTGCTTGCGGCTTTTGGTTTTCAGTAGGGTCCGGGAATCTTGGTTGTCGGGCTGTCCAGGTACGTGAGCCGCACAGGGTTCGTTCTAAACCTACAAGACTCCACCCAAAGGTCAAAGACAACAGCATGGCAGGTGTACCCTGGTGGAGTGCTCTGGTGACTTCCTTCTGGATGCAAAAGGGACACGTAAGGTATCCTCAAGTAAACCCCCCCGGAACTCCCCGGATTCACACAATCCTCCATATCGCAGTCTACTCCGAAACCGAAAAGAGTGCACGCCGACGAATTTCGCGAACTTGATCTAAGCAAACGCCTGACTCCGAGGAAAGTGTCGATCCATTCACGCTGCTCGGTGTTTACAAGTCTTACGTGCGGTTTAAAGACTTTAAAGAGTGTACTTAGCAGGCTTGGGTTTGGGGCTGCAGAGTCAGGGTTGATGGTTTCAGGATTTTCGAGTTTTGACTTTACGGTTACCGTTCGGTGGCCTCAGGGTGTTCAAGTTTCAGTGGTTCGGTTGCAACATCGAGATGCAGTCTCGCGAGCTGGCAATGGGTCTTGCGGTTGCTTGTGCGCAATGCATGTCAAACCATCTGCTTGTAGTCGAGCGATGTGGCAACTGCCCCAACCAGAGCAGTAAACCCTAAACTGCTATACCCTTCATATACTAGTCTGGGCTTTAATAATTGCCAATAAATACTATTGTGGGGGTCCCTTACTATAGTTGCAATTGTAGTATAATGGGTCCGAAAACCCTATTCTAATTACTGAGGCCCCTACATCAGACCTTTCCGAAATCCTTTCGGGGAACCCCCAAGATCTCCCAAAGTTTGCCCAGGATCCCTGGCACTGAACCCCCTTGGATGTTGTAGCTGTATCATTATGACTACGACTACCAACAGCAGTGATAGAAATAAGAACAAAAATAACACTAACAATAGTAATAACAAGTAGAGTACTATGAATACTCCAATACGATTCATGCTACTACGTAGAACTACTAATGCTACTACCGCTTGAACTCCACCCCTCTGAGGATTTTGAAATCAACCCTCATGCCGTGAAGCTACGAAAAGGCCGCAATGGCACGCCCCTGCCCAGCGGCGCTGGGACTTGGCAGGTTGGAAGTTTAGGACTGGGTTTAGGATTCAGGGTTTACTTGGACCCCAAAAGTATGTAGAATAATATCCCTTAATAGGCTTTGTGCCGTAATTTTACATACTTTTGGGGGTTTAGGTAGGGCTCTTAGCGCATCTCTTGAGGGCTCTCGGGCTTAGGGTTGCAGAGGACTCAAGGGTGTTGGATCTCGGGGGCTTTTGGGTTCAGAGGCGACCGGAGTTTGAAGGGTTTTGCGATCGTGCTATCGGGTCCCCAAGGGTTTAGGGAGGCCTATTGGTCCAGGGTTTGAACTGTGTGTTTCGGGGAATTCGAAGAGTTTCAAGGTACATCCTGGGCACCCACGCGAACGAGGCACCCCGAACTTTGGCCTTAGGCCCTAAACTCCACTCCCTGAAGCTCAAACTCCGAACCCTGAGATGGCAATTGCAAACATCTATGTCCTTCAGATTCTATCGTAAACCGCCAAACTTTCAACCCAGAATCTCGATCCTCCATGTGGAGCATCCCGGCCAGATAGATTTCGCTCGGTCGCTCGATCCACATAATTACCCTAAGCCATGAACAATCCTACTCTCTCTCTCTCGCTCTCTCTCTCTCTCTCTCTCTCTCTCTCTCTCTCTCTCTTTCTCCCCTTGAAGAAGTAAGATACATGCACGCGTAAACGCACATATTGGTCCCTATCCCCACCCTAGACAGTCTCCCTCCTCTGTGAATTCCCGGGATCCTCCTGAAAGGACCTCGAGACCCTAAGCCCTCAGAGCACGAACGACGCCCTAGACCCTACAAAGCCCCATCTGAAACACTGCAGCCCTAAAAATAAACCCCAAACCCTAAGCCCTAAGCCTTGTTTGCTCTCCTGAAAAGCCCTAAACCCCCAACCCAATAAGAACCCAATCTCCGAAACCCTACGATGATAAGCGCTACCTTACAAACCGCAAGCCCAAACAGCCCCAAAGACAGGCGTTCATGGCCTGGGTGCCCTCCGGCGCAGCTTTGGGCTCACCCACACCATGGAAGGCTTTGGAGGACGGATGAGGGTTTAGGAGGTAGGGTTTGCAGGATTTGTGGTTTTCTGTAAGGTTTCGCGGTTGGGCCTACCTAAACCTCCCAGAGTAGGCAAAATAATGGCCCAATACCCATAAAAGCTTATTATTCCACATACCTCCGTGGTCCAGGTAGGGTTTAGAGTCTCTTTAGGGTTTAGGATTCCAGTTTAAAGCTTAATAGCGTTTCAGGCCAAGAGTTCTGCACGCCTAGGGTTCCGAGCTATGCCTTGAGAGTGCAGATCTACTTATAGTCTCCATTGTAGTTCCTTTTTTTGGTTTAACCAATTATATATTAGGGATCCTATAAGGTAGCCCCAAAAAGGAACTACAATGGAGACTATAGGTATGCTGTTTTGGGGGCTTGGATGTTCGCTTAGATTTTGGAGTGGGGGTTTACATCGACGCTTGCGTTTAGGTGCGATGTTGCATTGTGTACCTACGCCCCTATTAAGCTACCTTTTCTCAAGACTTATATAAGGAGATCATAGTAGGGAGCCCTGAAAACGACCTCATCGTCGGGAGCCCCTATAAAGGAAATCATAGTAGGGAGCCTCTAAAAAGTGAGTGAGTGCGTCATGTGAGGCGGCACTGGGTCGGCTCGACTACACTTGAGTCGGGTTCCTTGGGGTTCCTGATTATATGGGTGGCTGTCAAAATTGTGGTCCCTTTTTGGGTCCCTTATACAGTACGGCACCTAATATGTAGGCTACCCCAAAAGGGACCATAATTTTGGCATTCACCCATATGTATCCTATAGTGCACCCCCCAAACCCTACTCTAATTATTAAGGCCCATGGAGGGCCATCCAACAGATTCAGTAACCACACGATGTTCATGCAAGGTAACGAAGCCACCTTGACCGATTCCTTGTCGGTTTCATCAGAATAAACCCGAAGGGTCCATGTGCCCAAATAGTATATACTTTGGGTCCATTGTACCTATATAGGGATTACTTTAAGGCCAATGTATAATTATACTATTTAGGTACATGGACCCTTAGGGAAAGCGTGTTTCAGGAAGCAGCAGGTTCAGAGCCGACGCGCAGCTGGGGAAGTTGTTTGTAGCATCTGCTTGAAGGCAGAATCCCCCGACGTATGTGCAAGGCCCCAAAGAGGCCCAAGTGACCCTCAGAGGTGAGCCTTTAGCTATGGCGTGTTGCGCGTAGGGTTGGTTGTCAGAGTCCAGTCCAGGGTGACGAAGTGGGTTCAAACGATGAAATGGCTACTTTCTCATGATCAGAGGCGTGCTCAAGGAAGCGCACGCGCCCATGTTCACGAATGTACCAATGTGAACGCCGCCCTCTGGTAGATCTCTGAAAGAAACGGCCAGCCAGTCTTCTACTACTACGACGACTACTAGTACGACTAGGTTCGACTGCACTACGACTTGTCCTTCTGCTACTGCTCCTGCTGCTGGTGCTACGGCTACTGCCTGCTGCTGCCAGTGCTACTGCCACTGCCAGCACCACTGCTACTGCTATGTGCTATGAGTAGTCCCAGTACTAGAAGTCAGGTGTAGAAGCACTACGGTTATCTCCCAAACCCCATGACAGGCCTCATGATTCATAACTTCTCGGCGGCAGTCAAGCAATGACCATGAAGACCCCTTAGAAAGCAGAGTTATCCAGACATGAAGCCGAAACCGTGAATGCAAAATCGAACTCCTTTCACCCCATCTCTAAACCCTGCACACCTACCTTTGGTTAGTAGGGAATGGAAGAATGGTAGTAATAGTAGTTATACTTGTACCCATTCCTCCATTCCCTACTACTCAAAGGTACCCTACACATTCAGGACCGGACCGCTTGTCCCGTGCCTCCTCAACGGCGCAAGATGTCCACCGGTAGCGCTGGACCGGCGGACCGCAGCGGCTTCACGTCTTTAGGGGTTTTTGTGAGGGCTAAGCCATCAATCCCCATTGGGGTTTAGGGGTTTAGGGTCTAGGATCCCCTACCTGGACGCCAAAAGTATGTAGAACAATAGCCTTTTATGGGCATTGGGACATTATGTTACCGACTTTGGGGGGGAGGGTTAGGTAGGGGTTTTTGTGAGGGTTCAGGGTTCAGAGTTCAAAGCCGTGGGGCTTTAACCCATGTTGAGCCGCGCTCTTCTGTTGTACCAGGTATACTAAACCTTATAGTACCGTGATCTTTATAGGCGCCTTTAAAAGGAACCCTAAGGAATAGTACAATCAGAAATCTTCGGGGCCTCAGGTTTTGCAGCCGTCGTCCCAGAGTGCCAAGAGAAGCCGGGGAAGCACGTGATGGTGGATGTCTTGGGCCAGGCTCGCAGGGCTTGTCTAGGGTTTAGGGTGTCAGGGACCTGATTAAGAAACCTTAGGCCTTTTTTAGGGTCCCTGAGATGAATCCCACGATTTTGGGGCTATAGGCCGAGGGTTTCTTAATCAGGTTCCTAGATTTTACGGTAGAAGCCAGAAAGCTGGAACATGATTATCCTCATGCCCCGAAGGTAAAGTAGAGGGAATTCCAGCACTAATCATCCTAAACCCATGTTGCAAGTTTCTGGCTTTCACTACATAGGCTTTGTTGTTTGGGGTTCAGGATTTCAGGGTTTCGGTTTCATATAGAAACTGCTGGGTTAGACGGAAGGATGCGTTTGGTTGGGGGTCTGAGTCTAGGGAGCTGCCTTGGGGGAAGCATATGGGAGTTTCCAAAAATTTTTTGCTGGGTACCTTTTTTTATATAATAAGGATGCTACTATTTAGGGTACTATACCAGGCTCCCCTATTTTCGGAAACTCCCATATTTCGCAGTAATTGAGATGGCAAGTGCTAAGCTGTTCTCTGAGTGTGCGACGTGGGAATAGAAGCGAGTCCAAGCACAGAAGCTCTTGTGCGTGCGTGTCCTGTTTTGAGGCATGCAAGGGGTGCATGCCCCGAAGTCAGGCATGTAGGAAAGATAGTCCTGAACACCCAAATTCCGCACCCTAAGCCCCAAACCTATACATAGTGTGCTTACCAACAGCACCCCAAAGCCTGCCTTGCTGGGGGTTTCTTACTCTGATTTCCTTGCGTACTTCCTCAAGTACGTCGTTCAAACCAATACTGTATCAAGATCTCAGAGTTTGATTTGCAGCGGGTTCAGGCCATACTACTACATTGTTTCAAAAGCCTCGAACCCCTACTTGGCCTACAGTACTGTACGAAATTCCTTCAGAGACCTCCTCAGTCCGGGTCCAGGAGTGCTCAGACACCGACAGCGATGAGACTAGCCACTTGGCCCTAGGTGCTCAGCCCAAGGATGTCTTTCGTGCTGCGCTCTTTTGCCGCTAGTCGTCGGTTAGGGGTTTTGGGTTCTTGGTTTAAGGCTTGGCGGTTCAAGTAAAGGCACTCACGATTCGGGTGGAGCGTGTAGCGGACAGGGCTCCTGCAGTGGCTCCACTTCGTCCTGCAGGAGGCCTGAAATCTTGCTAAGCCCGAAATCCCAGACGCTACGGACGCAAAAGCACCGTCGCAAAATTCCGTACTCCCTGCTGTTGCGACAAGAAATTGGGAAGACGACAGGGTTGCTGCTGCTCCTTCTGCTGCAGTACTACCACTACCACCACCACTCCTACTACTCCTGCTACTACTCCTGCTACTACGACTGCTACTCCTGCTACTCCTACTACTCCTCCTACTTCTCGTACTACTCCTGCTACTCCTACTACTACTACTACTACTACTACTACTACCACTACTACTACTACTACTACTGCTACTACTACTACTACTACTACTACTACTACTACTACTGCGGCACGACTACAACAACAACTACTACTCTGCTACAACTACAACAACAACAACAACAACTACTACTACTACCACTACTACTACTCCTACTACTCCTGCTACTCCTGCTACTCCTGCTACTCCTGCTCCTGCTGCTGCTGCTGCTGCTGCTGCTGCTGCTGCTGCTGCTGCTGCTGCTGCTGCTGCTGCTGCTGCTGCTGCTGCTGCTAGGTATCTTATAGTTTATGGGATCCCCCGACTGAGGAACGATCGCCAGCAAAGAGGAATTTGAAGTCCTCCCTGTCTTTCAGGCCATGTGTGGGCCACGGTCTCGAGCTCATGGTACGTAGGACTGATTGCAAAGGGTTGTACAAGGATGAAGCAGGGGTTCAGAAGAGTTTTGCAGGGCCTGATAAATTGTTCCACCTCTACGGCAGGGGGTTTTAGGATTCAGATTTCCGAATTCACGGCGTAGGATCTGTGATGTAGGGCAAACTTACGGTATTAAGGTATTGAGGCATGCGATGCAGTCAGACCCTAAACTTCCGAACGATCCAACCATTAGAGAGGCGGAACCAAGCCCCCAGCCTGTCCCATACCCTTGTAGAACCCTTATAAACATGCAGCCCCTTTACCTAGTAGTAGAGTAGGCAACCTTTATCCTTGTTGGGGTTGTATAGCCCCTATATGAGCCCTATATAACCAAAAAGGTTAACCTTTAGTTCCCCATGATACCCGACAAGTAGGTTTAAACGGCTTTTGGAATCCTTGGCCCTTATCTAGGTCCTCCACTGATCCCTCCTTAAAGGCCCCTTTAGTTCTCTATAACAGGGCTATGGGGTTCCTCTGGGGGTTCCGATAAGGGGTACTGCAACCCCAGGGGGATCCTTCAAAGGAGCCCTTGTTAGAGCCGTTAAAGGACACCCTTGAAGCCTTTAACGCTCAACCCTCCTTCAGAACCCCTTAAAAGTAACCATGAACCCTAAGCTTTTAAACTCTAGACCCCCCCTATTGTTCCTTTAAAGGAACCCTTAAAGCAGCCCTTCAAGATCTCTTAAAAGGAGCCCCCAAGGATCCCTCAAAGGAACCCTTAAAGGAGACCCCTAGCCCTTGAAAGGCCTCGGAGAAGTTGGCACGGAAGCTGAAAAAGCACACTAAGTCGGAGGCGGCAAGCTCGGACGCGTGGCTTCATACTAGAACAGGAAGCAGGGATTATAGAGTTTTACATTCAAAACTATAGTAGGAGTTCAGGCCTTAGGGATTTAGGATTTAGGGTGTCGTATTGTAGCGATCTTAACGGTTACAACAGGGTTTTAAGTTTCGTGCTCCTGTTTAGCATTACTACACTGAGGAAACCCTGGAAACTAATATTGGTAGTGGTTCAGGCTTCTAGCTTGCCGTCACAGAATCTCGTAAAGGGACTCATGGGAAGAATCTTGGTATTGATTGAGGCTTCTATATTTCCTAAAGCTTAAATCCTGAATCCCCACTGCCTACACTCCTACTCAACCCTAACTAAGCCCTATATCCCTACACCCCAAGGCCTAAACTCCTACTAGACCCTAAACCCTGGGGATGTTGCAGGTTTGGGGCTTTGGGGCTTTGGGGCTTTAGGTTGCTGCGGTTCAGAGGTTGCGGTTTAGGGTTTAGGGGTTTAGGGGTTTAGGGGTTTAGGGTTCAGGGTCTAGGGTTTAGGGTTTAGGGTTTTAGGGTGCATTGGGTTTTAGGGTGCATTGGGTTTTGTCGGCGGTTGGGCTGTAGGGTTTACTTTCAGGTTTACCTTGAACCTCAGAGGCCATTAGAGGCCCTTCCCTAAAATTGGATCTGAAGCTGGACCATTGCTGCATGACATACTCGTGTTGGTTTGATGTGTACGTTTTGGTCGTCGAGGCTTGTGTTTTGCCTTTTGGGAGAGTGGAGTGAAGGATGGTCGAGGACAGAAGTAAGGTCAGAAAATGCAGTATCACCTCCCGTCAAATTGTGCGACGGCTCTGAAGTCTCAGCTATGACTTCGCCGAACGTTTATATAATAAGTTTGCATTCAAGCTTTGTCCTCTTTTGCATAGAAAGGCATTCACGAGGTGGCGGGATGAAGCTATGTAGGGATTGCTCTAGTGTTGATCGACGAACCCTAAATCCTCAAACCCCAAATCCTACAACCCTACATCCTCCCATCCCTGCAGCAGCCAAGGCGGTTTACCGAGAGGAGGAAGCAGACTTTGGTCAGCAAGTTCAGCCGTGGCGCCTTGGACTTTTCTGCCTGGTTCTTCGTAGGGAATGGGGGAATGGATTATGGAGACTGTTCTTGGGGATTAGGGGGGACTGCTATATGGATCCATTCCCCCATTCCCTATTAAGCATCAGACAGTTTGGGTTGGGTTCAGAATTGCCAACTGGGTTTCCTGAACTCCAAAGCGTGTAGACTTTGGAGGTTTGGGGTTTGGGACTTTGGGAGTGTTAGACTCGCACACGACCCTGAAACTTCCCCTCTACGCTTGCTTCCGAAGCATCATGGTCGACATCCGCGGTGCATCATGGCCCATACCCCAAGCCATACCGAAAATCAACGGTATATCCTGAAGCCCTAAATCAGCCCGAGACCCCACCGAGATCCGAGGTACATCCTGAATCCCGACTCTCTGCCGCGGGTTCTCTGGGACGCCACGCGTTCGAATTGGCTTCTTCATGGCTCCTATTATTATTACTATTATTATTATTATGATTATTATTGTTATTGTTATTATTATCTTATTATTGGCACCAGGGCTTAAGGTTCAAGGTACTTTGGTAGGCTCTTGTAAAGGGATTTGATACGACTATTCATGAAGGCTTTCTTTCTGAAAATGGCTTCAGTTATGGAGAACTTTCATCTAAGGGATCCTCAACTGAAGCAGCAGCTGCGATGGCTGATCCTCGTCTCTCTCTCTCTCTCTGTCTCTCTCTCTCTCTCTCTCTCTCTCTGTCTCTCTCTCTCTCTCTCCCTGTCTCTCTCGCTCTCTCTCTGTCTCTCTGTCTCTCTCGCTCGCTCTATCTCTCTCTCTCTCTCTCTCTTTCTCCCTTTCTCTCTAGAGACTGGATGCCTAAGAAGTCAGGACCCTAGTGTTTGGGATCAAGGTGGCCTTTGTTTCGGACATTCGCTTGCATAATGTGGTGTTGAAGACTATGAATAGGAGTCATGATGATCTGCATGCTCTGGAAATACGATGTGCGCATGTGCGCATTGTCCTGAATCCATGTTCCATATGTGCACCTTCGCATGTACAGGTGTACCGTGCCTTCAACTACCCTACTTCAGTTTTCCATGAGATGCCGATACTAACCCTGGTAAAGTGCGACCCGTAGCAACCATACATACACGCAGGTCCTCGTCGTAGGACATTCCGTTTTTAGTGGTGGAAGGGGGGGAATAGATTGGACCAAAAAACGCACAACCATTACATGGTAACCAGCACCTCCTTACACCCTCAAACCTGAATCCCCATAAACTCGAAGCCAGCAGTCTCAAAGGCCGCGAGAACCTGCAACAAAAGCCCATAAACCCACCGACACCCTAAACTAAACATTAAACCCTATCAGCCCTAAGGCGCAAAGCCGCAAATTCTAAGGTCTTCAGCCTCTTCATGATCACTTACGACATGATCTTCGTGCCATTGGAGGTTGATTCGAGTTCCGTAGGGGATCATCTTGGGTCCCCGGTTACTATAGGGGCCTTAATAATTAGTATTTTGCGGGTTCCTTCATATTTTTATTTATAGTATAATGGGCCCCAATTCCCTATTCTAATTAGTATAAGGCCCCTATATTAGGGTTTTACGAACCTGTTTAAGAAACCCTGGGCCTATAACCCCAACATAGTGGGGTTCATATAAGGAAGCTTCAGGAGTTTCGGGCGTAAGGATTTAGGGTTTTAGGGTTTAGGGTTTAGAGTTTAGGGTATAGTATAGGGCTTAGAGTTTAGGGTTCAGGGTTTAGGAGGGAGAGGGGGAACAGGCGCGAGAACCAGTGTGGCAGAAAACTGCTCGATCGCAGCAGGGCTCTGGATAGGTAGTTCACTCTAAAGTGAGGATCACGCTTATGGTCCCCAAAATAGTACGTATCGGGACCCTGTTTTAGAGAGCTACCCAGATAGTAAGCAGGTTGCAATGCTATAAGCAGCGTCATAGGTAGGCGCGAGCCCCACTTAGGCTATATGCAAGACCATTTATTTTCGATCTGCTAGGTCCCATGAGCTTCAAGGAAACCGTGCCCTAAACAATATTACCTGAACTCGTAATCGCAACTAAACTCTATTTCATCCGTCAAGCATGAGAATCGCCATGTCTCCGAAGCCTGAAAAGCAATACCGGGGCCTAGTGATCAGAAAAGGTTCTTTTGAGAAGTCTCCTTGACGGTTCTATAGGGCTTGAGTATATGGAGGCGCTTTGTTTACTGGAACAGAGTCTTGTGTATACTATCGTATAATTACGTAGGGACCGAACGGACACTAGTGCGAAGCATCGAATGTTGATAAAGCGCAATACTCCCACTTTCCAAAACCTCAGCCCTACAGTGGGACAGGATTTCGGGGCTTCGTATACTACGGCTTAGTAGTCCAACGGGCTTGGGACTCATTGTAATTGATTCATCCCTTTCGACAGTGTGGTCTGGGTTGTCGTTGGATTGCTGGTTATGTGGGTGTCATGGATGTCTTGTATTTCAGGTTTCAGGCTTTGTTGTTTAAGGTGTAGATTTTGGTGACAAGGGGCCAAAGCTTACGGGTCATGGTGCCCCAGAGACAGACAGCATGGATCACCTCTTGAAAATACCAGACTTTCTCATAGGTCAGCCATTTGTTCACGACGATTGTGAGTTTTCTCGCGAAATTCCCAGAGCAGCCACAGGTTTGCTTCAACCCTGCGCAGACGACCTTTCTGGAAATCCTTGCTCTAACCTCAGACAGAGGGTTTTACGAAGCTTGTAATAAAGGGAACTCCAGAAAGTTGGAATATGGATTAATGGTAGGATACCCTATAATTTACCTTATAGGGGTTACGATAATGATATTCCAACTTTCTGGCTTCTACTATAGGGGCTTCAATTGGCATGTAGGTTTCTGGTCTTTGGCATTCGGCGGTTGTGTTTTTTCTTTTGTGACGATCCCCCCAAAAAAAACTGTAAATTGCCATAGAGTTAGAGTCCTTAAAGAAACCCTAATGAAACCCTTCGCCTGTCGTTTCTGCGTCAATCTGCCAAAGCTGGGCAGCCGCCCAGAAACTTCAGAGACAATGGGCATCGGCATCTTGAATTGAGTTACATGTCCTAAGGGACATAGCTTGGACTACCATACCGTACTTCTTTCTAACCTCTCTCAAGTTTTATACCAGGGCTTATTTTCAGATGTTAAGTTCTGTGCCAGGGCTTGTTTTAAGGCGCGAAGACCCTCGAACAAATAGACCATTGGAGTTGAAGGTATGCACGCCCCGGGAATCCGAAAAGCCTAGGAGATCCTCCACGCTTGCATTGATCATGTTGCAGGGTTCCTTTTGACTTTGGTACCCGGTTTAAGAGGCTCACGTGTTCTGTTGATGACAGCTTATATGGGACTCCTCATCACCCCCCCAGCTTAAAGGCAACGACAGGAGAAGGTGGGGGTTAAGAGTATCATACACCCACAAGTTGAGTCTTGTTGCGGAGAGGCGCATTCCAGCAATTAAGGGATTGAGGATATGTTTAGGGTTGCGACACTTGCGGGTGTAGTTAGCTTAGTTCAATGAAATGAAATCTCAGAGGCAAGGAGTTTAGCAGGATCCCTCAAGATCCCACTCTTAAACGCATTTCTCTTGGCCGTGAATCTCGAAAGATGCAATGGGCGTATGTGCATGGTATCAACAGCCGGCGTATAAAGAAAACGACTCTACCGCCCTTTTCATAGTAGGAGCACCACGTCAACAGTTCGGTGTCAGGAACCCTGAACCCTCAAACCCGGGATGCAGTGCTGAAGGACTGGACGACGCGCTTCTTCTGGACGTTCGACATGGGCATGTCTTGCATTACTGGCTTTGTGTTCGCGGATGGATGCTTGGAAAGAGTTAGACTCACAACTTACCCCCTTCCAGCTTTGCTTGAACCCTTCGGGTTCGGGGTGTTGTAATACGTCTGGGCTTTCAGAGCCCGAGTCTGCATGCTTCAGACATTGACCACGAAGCTCGCAGGAGTTTTCTTAGGTTCAAGGGTTTACAGTCTAGATCGCCTAGAAGGAAAACTGTCCAATGGTTTCGAGGCTGTCAGCGGGTTAGAGACAGGATAAGCCTCTTAGGGTACTGACAGCCCCAAATATGTCCGACTTACTAGGTCCCCCGATCCTGCAAGTAGCAATCGCTAAACCCAGCACTTATCAAGGCAACCTCTAAAAGACAAACCTTGATTAAGTCCCTTTTGACCCAAATGAACCCAGCACTTATAAAATAAACCTCTAAAAGAAACCTTAAAGTCCCGTTGGAACAACGTTTAGGGTTTAGGGTTTAGGGTTTAGGGTTTAGGGTTTAGGGTTTAGGGTTTAGGGTTTAGGGTTTAGGAACCTGGAAGTGAGGTGTCATCCAGTACAACCAGCGCGAGATCCTTCGTCACTATGCCCGGACCTGGTTCCTGGACATTGGTTCTCGAATTCTGGGATCGTCTGTTTACTGACTCTACACACCAAACCTGAAAATTAACCCAACCATTAAGGACCAGAAGGGCTCTTTCAAAGCGTACTTCTGGTGTACTCCAGACCCCAAACTACCCAGAGGCTCCAAAGTAGCTCCCTTTTGGGGTTCATATACAGAATCCTATAAGGTAATCCCAAAAAGGAACTACTATGGAGCCTATGGGTAGATTTGCTGGATTGCTGTGTAGGGTGTACCTGTAGGTCCAAGCCCTACAAAACAGGTGGATTATGACTGCTCCATTCCCCTTAACCCTAAACCCGGAACACTGGGCGCAAACCCTAAACCCCATCAAGCCCTATAGCCCTGGGCCTAGGGGCAAGGTTTGCAATGCAACACCAAGCCGAATAAAGGGGTTCACAAAAGAGGAGGCCTGTCACAAATAGAACAAGGGTTTTGCGGTTTAGGGTTTAGGGTGTAGTTAACGGTTCTTCTTTCAGTATAGGTATCTACACAGACATGCATATGTGTATTGTATGCATGTGTACATATATATATATATATAGACACATACGTATATAATGGCTGCAAGGTAGGTAGACAGATAGACAGACAGCTAGATAGGTAGGTAGAGAGAAAGACAGAGCTTTGATAAAGTCAGCATTTAAATCTAGATCTTGGCACAAAGGTCTCTGTAGGTTTCCGGTGGCCTGGGGCTTCATCAAAGGATTCCATGTGAGGAGTGCTTCGGACCCTCGAGTAAGCCCACAGCGAGGTTCCTGCCGGACGTCGCGATCGTGTCTTGGGACTGGATTGGCTGCTTGGCCGAGGAATGCTGTAGTCCCGATGCCGATAGAGTATAGTATGCTACAAAACCCCATTCTGCTTATAATTAAAGTTATCTATACATTATGACTCGTGTTTTGTTTACAAACTATGTTGCTCGGGGCTTGGGTTTCGGGCCTGGGTGCAGAGTCCATTTTTTGGTGTTTTGGCAATTGGAACAAGCAGCGGCAGCGAGACTTGTACAGCCTTCCTGAAAATTGCCAGCTGAGGTATTAGATGAACACAAAGCCCTAAACTCAGCCAGGACCCTCAAGTATCCTTGAAAGAGGTCTCAGAATTCTCAAGAAACAGTAATTTCAGGCTACAACAAAGGGTAGTTGGGGGGTTTAGGTACCCTTTAACAGCTACCTATAGTCTCCATCGTAGTTCCTTCTGTGTTTAACTATTTTTAATCTTCAGGATCCCAAAAGGTCCTAAAGGGTAGCACCAGAAAGGAACTACAAAGGAGGCTGCAGGTAGATCAGATGTCCGAGACCCAGGAATGGTGATCCGAAGACCGTTTGCCCTAAATTCAAGGGAGTTTCCGAAAATTAGGGGTGGCGCTATTTGGGAGGCCTTATAATAATAAGGATCCTGTTATTTAGCGTGCGATATTAGGTTCCCCCTATTTTCGGAAACTCCCAAACTTAGAGGCTCTGGGGACTTATCAAGGTGACGAGAAACAACAAGCCGGATGTAACGCTAGAAATAGCCGAGTTGCTGTTCATGTCCCTTTGCACCAGGGTCCTATGTACTGTTATGGGGGATACTTCCCCAAATCACAATAGTAATTCCTAATATAGAAACCCTACATTCTACTCTAAAGGTACTTTGGGCCCTTTGGGTTTGCACCATGCAGAGGATACATGGTCTCCGGCGGCGGCCTCGCGTTGGGACAGCTGGCTCGAGCCGTGCGCGTTGCCCGTGCAGTAAGGCACCTGTGTTCAGGGTAATTAGGTGGAACAACTAATTCAGGGCTGGCAATAGCCCTACTGAGCTAAAACTAGAGCGTATGGTCATATACGATGTATTCGTATATGTATGTGTTGCTTATATGCACGTGGTCCACGCACCCGAATACGATGTTCAGAGTCACGGCGAGGGTTTTTCCAGTTCAGGGCTTAGATGTTAAAGTGGAGATTGGGGTTTAGATTTTCGGGGTGCACGGTTTAGGGCTCAGCCAAGCCGGGGACGTTGTAGAAGGAATGAGGCCAGCTCCGGAAGCTCCGAACTGCGCAGAAAGTTCGATTTCGGGTTTGAGGCCTGGTTCATGGCTTAGGGCACAGGGTTTAGGGCACGGGGTGCACGGCCCAGGTTTAGCGTTTGCATGCGCAACAGGACACACATTTTTCCCGCAGCATATATCGAACCATCTCAGCAGCTTCTCAGGCAACCGGCTGCTAGAGCGAATGGACGCATAGTGGCACATCATGACATGAAGTTGTTCCTAAACCCGAATCCCAAATCTCCTACAAGAAAACCAACATGTAGCAGGTGGTAGCAGAGCAGCACAGCTGCCCTTCGAAGGATTAGCTGAGGTCGATTTGGCTCCCAACCTCAAGGAAAAGAGCCCTGCGCCAGAAAAAAGGTCTGAAGCTCGATCGAACCACTAAACACCAACCGTCATGTGCTGATCTCAGACAATTGAGGTACTTAGCCGTGCATACTGCCGTACAGCACCGACTTTCACACCGCACATGGCCCTTGAGTCGTCGCAGCATCAAACCGTGACCCCGCTTCCCGCGGGCGGCATGTCTATTGGTGTGGAAATCAGATTGCTCAGTGGCAGGAACGTGTCTTTGGAGGCGGGGCTGGATGAGACTGTGGAGACGCTGAAGCGACGGGCCCAGAGCGCGCTGGCTGTCGGCAAGCGGGGCGTCCTGGTTGACAGCGCCGGGCAAATCCTAGAAGGTTCAGCCACTATCAAGAAAGCCAGGTTGCAAGATCGGGACTCCTTGACTCTGCAGGTGAGCCACGTGAATGTTCAGTGCAATGTGCGATCCTTTGCTGCCCTCCCTGCCGATGGATCTGTCGTGGCATGGGGCAACGTTAGCCGTGGCGGTGACAGCACGGCCGTTCAAGAGAAGCTGACCAATGTGCAGAGTATCCAAGCTGCAGACGATGCTTTTGCTGCCATCCTTGCTGACGGATCTGTCGTAACTTGGGGCAATGCCGTCTCCGGTGGCGACAGCAGTTATGTTCAGGAGCAGCTTGAGAATGTACGACAAATTCAGGCCTCAGCTGACGCTTTTGCCGCCATCCTTGCCGATGGATCCGTCGTAACCTGGGGCCAAGCTACGTTTGGCGGTGACAGCAGCATCGTTCAAGAGAAGCTGAGGAGTGTGCAGCAGATTCAGGCCACAATGGGTGCGTTTGCAGCCATTCTGGCAGACGGATCTGTCGTGACATGGGGTCACGATGAGTTTGGTGGCGACAGCAGCGCGGTTCAAGACCAGCTGAGGCATGTGCAAGCGATTCAGGCCTCAGATAGTGCCTTTGCCGCTATTCTTGCCGACGGATCTGCTGTAACTTGGGGCGATACCAGACTCGGGGGTGACAGCAGTGATGTGCATGAGCGGCTGAAGGAAGTCAAACAGATTAAATCCGCAGCGGGAGGGGCTTTTGCTGCCATCCTTGCCGATGGATCTGTCGTGACTTGGGGCGATGCCGAAGCCGGTGGTGACATCAGTGCCGTTCAGGATCAGTTGAAGAATGTGCTGCAGATCCAGGCTTCATGGAAGGCTTTTGCTGCCATCCTGTTGGATGGATCTGTCGTGACTTGGGGAATGGTTATGTTTGGTGGTGACAGCACTGCCGTTCAAGAGCAACTCAAGACAGTGCGAGAGATTCAAGCCACTGAAGGTGCTTTTGCTGCCATACTCGCCGATGGATCCGTCGTAGCTTGGGGTGACCCTGCTATTGGAGGCGACAGCAGTGCCGTTAAAGAGCAGTTGAAGGATGTGCAAGAGATCCAGGCTTCGAACTGGGCTTTTGCAGCTATCCTTGGTAGCAGATCTGTCGTGACTTGGGGAAATGCTGAATATGGTGGCGATAGCAGTGGCGTTCAGGAGCAGCTGAGGAACGTTCATCAGATCCAAGCATCATATGGAGCTTTCGCAGCCATTCTCGCAGATGGATCTGTCGTGACTTGGGGCAACGCTGCCGCCGGCGGTGATAGTAACGCTGTGCGGGATCAGCTTCGTTAGTTTTAGTGCGCAGAGTCAGATAACCCTAAACTTGATGCCAAGCGTTGGGATCCTGGGCCTGTGACCTTTGACCCAGGGACTCCAATATCCTTTAATCAAGGAATATTCCTTAAATCATATTAAGGATCCTATTATAATTTAAGGTAAGTATATTCCTTAATTAAGGGGTATTGGAGTCTCTAGGGACCTCAAGCCTTCAAGCCCGAAACCCCCAAGCCCTCAGCATCAGCTTCGCACCCCGACACCTTGGACTAAACCCCGAGCCTTCCGCGCCAAGCCCCCAAAGCTCTTCAGTCCCTGGACCGCCATTCGTTAGGGTTTAGGGATTCAGGGGTTTCAGGGTTTTAGGGTTTAGGGTTTTAGGGTTTAGGATTTAGGGGTTTCAGGGGTTTAGGGTTTAGGGATTCAGGGGTTTCGGGATTCCGGTAGGGGCTATGGTTCAGGCTCTCAGGGTTGGGGGTTCAGGACTAAGAGTTTACGGGTTTGGGGTTTAGGGCTTGAGGCGTCAGGAGTTTAGGGTGTGGTGTGTGTGTGTGTGCGCAGACTCGGTTTGAGTCGGACTGAGACCGAAATTTTGCCCGGCATACTCTACTTTCACTGACTCTAGTCGTAAAGGCCCCGATGTTTAACCTTGAGCCAAGCTTGAAACTTACCTTCGATTAGGAGGGAATGGAGGACTGGGGTAGAATTATAGCTACTACTATTAAGAGCCTCCGGCTCAAGCCGCCGACCCCGTGGGCGACAGACCAGAAGCCGAATGTACTTCCTTGGACGACTAGCAGGGTTGAGGGCTAGGGCGGAGGGGGGGGGAGGGGTCCTACACCCTCAAGCTTCACTGGTGCGCTTCTAAGATTGTGAGACCAAACGGGAACCTTCAAGTTGACAAGCTTCGCTGGTGCACTTCTAAGACTGTGAGACAAAACGGGGGGAAGAGGCGGAAGCACGCGAGGCTGCGCGACGATCACGCGAAGTAGGAACAAGGAGCACTTTGGAGCGGAGATGCCAAGGTTGAAGAGGAAGAAGGGGGCAAGGTGGGTGGGGGGGGAAACAGGGCGAGGGGGGGGCGAGGGTGGGGGGAGAGGAGGGGGGAGGGGCGGTGCGGGGAGGGGGGAGAGGGGGGGGGGAGGCGGTGGGAAGAGGGCAGAAAAGGAGAAAAAAATCGGTGGTCTCCTATTTGAACCCAATGGGCTGTGGTGTGATGCTTTTCGGGGCTTGGGTGCTGCTTGCAAACAGCCATGGGGTACCCCCCCCCCCCCTAGGGTGCGCCCGGTGCGCGGGATTTTGGTGTGGGAGGAGGGAAAAAGGGAGGTTAATCACCTCCAAGCCCATCGAAACCCATCCAACACGCCGCCAGGGTCGGCGGACTACACTACACTTCTTCCATTCCCTACTAATTTAGGTAAGTAAACCCCTAAGCCCCTAAACCTGTTCACAAGACCCTGGCTTCGAGAGGCTTCTCCGGTTGCTGCGGATGCAAGAAGTCTTGGCGAACCTCACGGAAGCTCGCCGCACTCTCGAAACCCCTCAAGGCCCCAAGTTCGAAACCCTTTCGGGCCATTAAACAGGAGCTTTAAAACAAAACAAAAGCCTTTCGGGCCCAAACGAGCGGGCCTTAAGCCCTGTAAATCCCACAGCCCAAGAGACCTAAGCCTTAGACCACGATTAGTCTAAACCCTAAATATCTTTGATGGAACGCCAATGTCCCAGAGTCGCACCGAGTGTGAAGCAAGTTGCTGTTTGTTGTTTTTGTAGGGTGCTTGGGGGTGTAGGGGTAAAAGGGTTTACGTTGTATGGGTGTTCAGGTTTGGGGGTTTGAGGTTTAGGGGGTTCGGGGGCCAGATGCCGTGAGAGGATCTAGCAAGCAGATTTTTGATAGTTTCCTCTTGAAGAACCTAGGTATTCGCAGTAACGAGCAGCAATGGGGACAAGTTCTTGCTATTCAACTCCTCCTAGGGCTTTGAGGTTCTGATTCCTAAGCACCTTGCGACAGGGTTTAGGGTTTTCGTTTTGGGGCTGGCTTCTTTCCGTTGCAATGCTGCAGGAAATGATGCCAAGAAAATGCAAGTTTGTATTGTTCGCGAGCAGCCCGCAGCTCAAGGCAATAATTAGCAAGAACTCTCGTACACGCAGAGAAGCATAGTTCCAAAACCCTCTAAACCCTAAACCCTTGGTACTCTGTCGGGCTAAGGGTTCAAGTCTAAGAACCACACGAAGATAGGCTTAGGGTTTAGGGGTTTAAGGTTTAGCAAGCCAGTTCATGTTGTCTAAAATTAAAATCTAAAAAGTTTGTCTCCGTGCCTTTGCCGGTGCATTGTTACTGTGTCTTGGAATATAATGGCACGAGAACCAGCCTTCACACGAGATTGGAGGCTTGGGTCGCCTTCCATGTTGGGGGAGTGAGTAAGTACCTGGACCCCAAAAGTATACAGAATAATAGCCTTTTATGGGTATGGGGCCATTGTTTTACCTACTTTGGGAGGTTTAGGTAGGCACAATTCGGAGCCGGTGGGGGGAGGAATACGCGACCTAACTAAGTCCTTGAAACCGGGTTTAGAGTTTCGGGCTGTCTGCTGAGGAGCGTCTCCAATCTGATGTGCTGGAGGCCATATCGAGGACTTGCATCTAACATGGAAGCACAGGCATTCTGTCCTCCAGACACCCCACACCCCAAACACTAAACCCCTTGGTTTTTTCTGAGAGCAAATCCGACTGAAAGCCGGGGAGGTCTCTGTGTTTCGTCCGCAACTATCCCAAGTTTGTGTGGTCTTTGCCTCCTTTGAAGTCTTAAGACGTGCGTCCACGTGTTCGGAATCGGAGCATGACACTGCTCTGCCTTGCAGGTAATCATGCAGATCTTGAAGTTGGTCGTGATTCTTGCAGCCGGCCCAGTGCACCGTGTAGTGGGCATGGCTGGGCCTGTGTTTGACTCATATCTCGGACTTACGCGGCATGTCTGTTCCCATCCGGTAAAGATCAGCATCTTGATCCTACAGCCACGAGTACACCCCACACCATAGACCATGCACCCAAGCCACTGAACTCTAAATCCTACACATCAAACTCGAAAAAACAGTTCGTTTTCAGAAGGAGTCTCTTGACTCAGGTCGTCACATGCCACTTTCTTGCTTGCTTTTGGTGGGCTGTGGGAACGAACGGCACCGAGACGGTTACCTGGGTCAAGGCCAGCAAACCGGGCTTGGATCTCTCACTATAAAGATCTGGCCATGGATCCTAGTTGTTCAGTTTTGAGGTTTAGTGCTTAGGGTTTGGGGTGTAGGGACCTATATAAGCTCTGAAATACCCGAATCCTAAACCCTATACTGTAAAAGCCGCCTGTGATCCTCCAAGCAAGGCCGAGAAACCCACTAAACCCTAAACCCTAAACCCTACAGGTAGATCAGGAGACTGCAGATTTGGGGTCCGGGCTTAGGGAGTATCCTTATGCTGGGGCCTCTTTCTCCCAGGTACATGTGCCTTTGGGACTAAGAGGACACCTTTTTACGAATCTTTTCCGAGGCTCTACAGGGCCGTATCGAAAGTGAATAAGTTTGCTGGGGAACATCATGGGGATTCTGGCCCTGGGGGCCTAGATAGCGGCAGAAATCCAAGAAGCTGCGCAAGGGGTCGGTTTTTCGCGATCTTTGTTGCTGTGAGTGACCCTGCAAGACTTCACCGAACAAAACACGCCCTTAAACACCCTAAACCCTAAACCCTTAAAACAAAAACTGAAACCCTAGTCAGGCTGACTGATGCTCGGCCACCAGAAACCCGGCCCAGCCCCCGTCCTGTAGCCAAGGCTCCAGAAGCGCTGAGCCCCAAACCTGCAGCCATAAAGCCGGAGCCCTGAATCCTGGTGCATTAAAGCCCAAGCGCAACACCGATAACACTTAAATCACTTATATAAATACTGAACCTACAGAATCCTAGCCCCTAGCAAGATAGCGGCTTTTGAGGATCGCTTTGCAAACCCAACGGCATCCGGTAAACCCAACCAGGCCGGTGGCTATGACAACTATGCCTTCGACTCGTCCTATCTCGTCTGCCTCTACTGGGCCATCTCTTTGTCACTTGGGCTTGGGACCACAGGGGCCAGGATAATTTGCTGGGTTGTGCTTTGGGATATTTTTCCCTTATTTCCTTACAAAGGGAACCTACTCATGAATAATTTTCAAAGGGTTTAAAGCACAACCGAGTTTAGTGACATTATTCCTCGGGGCTGCCCCCGAACCCCAAAACCCTAAACACTCAGCTCATGCCCTCGACTCAGGGCCATCCCCACAAGGCCGAAGTTACAAAATGTAGAAGCCTAGATAATTGCAAAGATTATTCCTTATGGCTTCCTCATTATAACTATGCCAAATTATACCCCAAGGGCCCTTCATTACTCCACATTGAAGGTTCTATTAGCGTTCATCTATGGTCGATGGTTCTATAATCCCAGAATGTAGAGATCTGAACAATTAGGGTGCAGGGGTTTAGGGATTAGGCATGCATCTCTGCAGTGCACTGGCAGTCTTTATGATACGTACTCAGAATGTGTAATGTACCACAACAATACACATCAAAGCACTGTTCTCTTTGTTAAGGCCCCATATTACCGAAAATGCTAGAAGCAGGATCCAGATTCCGAAAGCCTTATATAATGGGTCGCGAGGCACCACCATGCATGGACTTGTATTTGTCCGCGTTGAACTCCAGCAAAACGCGTCGTTCGATCTGCAAGGAATTTCTCTGGGCCGCTATGCGCAAAGGGGTGCAGCCGTTCAACGCAAGTTTGTTCATGTCCGCCTTGGCCTCCAACAGGAGCTCTGTAACATCTGCGTCGCAATCAGATGCTGCAGTGACTAGAAGTGGGTCCCCGTGTCTGCCAATCAGATCTGTGTCCGTATTGGCCTCCGGCAAAAAATGCAAATCCTCCGTGTCGTTGTGTGCCTCGTCCTCGAAAAACATGGCCGGATATGCTTGTGAGCTTCAAGCAGAAGGCGCGAAGCCTCCAAATGCCCACCCTCGGCTGCAATGAACAAAGGGGTCATGCCATCATGCCTGGCTTTTTAGTTGTCCGCGTTCCACCTCCAAATGCCCTTTCTTGGCTGCAATGAACAAAAGGGTCGTGCCATCATGGCCATGTCAAAGTCTGCATTGGCCTCCAGCAACAGATTCACAACCCAGAAATGCCCGTAGCAAGCTGCCTCGAACAGAGTCGCGGTGCCATCATGCGCGGACTTGTCCTTGTCTGCGTTCGTCTCCACTCCTCCAAAAAGTCTCACCAGCCTAAACTCTAAATCCAAAGCTTTCGACTCTTACACCGTTCCTCTCCCAAACTCTGCAGTTCGGGGTGAAAAGTTGAAAAATTCTGACTTTCAAAGCCTTAATGATGAAAAGACTTCCGGGGAACCCTGCTCCTGTGTTTTGGGGCCCCGATGCCATTTTAGAGCCTGAGAGTTTCAATCCCGAATATGGAAGTTTTCTAAACAATCGGCAGTCTTGTTCCCAAAGGGGCCTCCCGCCGTATAACTGACCAAAGCTTGCCCCAAACGACAACAGCCCATCTCTAAATCAGGGGTTTACGTGATTCATCCTCTTGCCATCTTCTTGCCTACCAATACCATGGAAGTCATCCTCCCTACACCCTCACCCCTGAGCCCTAAACCCGAAACCCCGAAGCCAAAACCTAGAACTTTAAATGGTGAGAAATCACAAGGTCCTAGGCGAAAAGATGCCTCAGCTACGGATATTGCGAAAATATTGCGACGTTTGAAGTTGCGTGGTCCTTCGGGTTGTCCATCATGCTGTAACGCACTAAACCCTAAACCTGCGTCATGGCAGGTGGATATAGGACCGCAGGTCTAAGGGTGCTATAGCTTTTATGTTCGGGCTGAAAAAGAAGTTTAGGTGTTGGGGTGTAGGGTGTAAAGTTTGGGGTAGAGTAGAATGTAGAACCATATTGAGATTGGGGGATCATGATGTCTTGCTTCTGTTGAATTGGTTCAGGATGTCATCTTGCCGTAAACCCGAAACCCTAATCTTATTCTTGTTCCAGGTTCTGCGGTGGAGCTCACAGCATCTACCCGGAGACTGACAGCGAGAGGTTTTACGGGGCTACCAGGCTTTGTCGAGCAGGTAAGTATCGAGCTCTCAACACGTAGTGCTGAAAACCCTTTCGTCGTGATGTACTACTTTACTACACTGAATGATGTGCTTAATACCGCATTCTGGTTCTTAAAGTCCGCGCAGAATCAGGCTATGATTATGTGCAAAACCCCGTTTCTCACCAGTAAGGTTCGCATTTTGGTTGAGATTTTCAACTCTGAAAGATAGGCTCTGGAACTTTCGGCCTCTAAGCCTTCAGGGCCTAGATGGGTTTCGGTTTTGGGTAAAGGGTTTAGGACGGTTTGTGTTTCAGGTTTACGTTGCGGGGTCAGCGTTTCGCGCTCTAGGGCCTCAGGCGCATGCTGTCTATGGAGATGCAGAATACCCAACACCCGGAACCCTTAAGCCCAAACTCACGAAGCCTAAGCCCCAAATCCCGAAACGCCCAAAGAGGGCTTAGAGTGCGAAACACATCGAATGATGTTTTTATGTAGAACACCACATGATGCAGCAATCTACAGCTGTGCTGGATCTACTATTTTAGGCTCCTATTTTAGATTCAAGTTAGGCGCTGCGTGTTTCCGAGTATACCTGGTTGGAGGCTCAGTGCTTATGCTACTATACCTTCACCTACCAAAACCTACTTTTTTCTGCAGGTTCCTACTCTAGACCCGAAGCAGGAAATTTATAGGGACCCTGCCACCAAGTGGGTGCTGGTGGGTTACATAAGGTATACTTGAAAGGTTTTAGCAGCTTAAGATTCGGTTCGTGTCTTTGTTGGTTGTGGGAGCTGGAGCTGGGTGGCCCCTGAACCTACCCCTAAATCCTTAACCCCTAAACCCTAAACCGTATCCTTAACGCCTAAACCCCGACCCAAAATCCCCAAAGTATGGAAAACAATGGCCAATTCCCCTAAAAGGCTATTATTCCACATTGGGGAGTTGTCAAACTTATGGTGCCTTTTTGGGCACCCTAAATGTTAGGTGCCGTACTATATTCGGGACCCAAGAAGGGGACATCATTTTGACAACCACCCAGACATATATACTTTTGGGATCCAGGTAAACCCTTAACCTTTAAACCCGACCCTAAACCCCTTAAACCCTAAACCCTAAACCCCTTAAACCCTAAACCCTAAACTCCTTAAACCCTAAACCCCAAACCCCTTAAACCCGACCCTACCGGCAAACCCCTCCACTCCCAAGGGCTCCCTCGAAATTTTTCTGCCCAGACGGATTTCCACTCTGAGGTTTGAAGGGATCTAAAGGGGGCTTAGGGATAAGGGTTTACTGTCTATAGGTTTAGGGATTCGGGTTCAGGAAATTGGGGTTTGGGATTTTGTTGAGATTGGGTTTTTAGGCTGTAAAGTTTAGGGTTAACGACTTTGGGTTCAGGTTTTGGGGGTCAGAAGCCCGAGTAGAGAGCCCAAGACCCCTTAATTAAGGAATATGGCTTAAATGATCTAGGGCTTCATATTCTGATTTAAGCAATATTCCATAATTAAGGGGTATTGGGCTCTCTGAATAAAACGGCCCTTTGTTGAGGTTGCATCGGGCCTCCTCAGCTTCGTGCTCATGCTGGCCGGGCGACAGTGGGATGACCAGCACAACCACGTTTAGGGTTTAGGGTCTAGGAAGTTTGCGTAAGTGCCGGGTTAGGGTTTATGGGCTTCAGGGTTTTACAGTATAGGGCCGCAAGACCTAGTCGTAGAGTAGGTATCCTCTAACCTTTTTTGGGCAGTATAGTCCCTATATAACCAAAAAGGTCAACCTTTAGTTCCCCATGATACCCGACAAGTAGGAAGAATACGCCGTGGGTTATAAGGCGCACTTGATTTGGTCAAAGGGGCGTTGAGGTTCAAGGTCTATAGGAATGGGGGGATTTTTGAGCTTCGGAGATGATCGGACATACTGGCTTAGAGTTTAGGGGTTAGGGTTTAGGGTTTATAGGGTTTTGGGGCTTAGGGGTTTAGGATTTAGGGTCTAGGGGTTTAGGGTTTTGGGGTTTAGGGGTTTAGGGTTTAGGGGGCCTAGCCGTAAGTCTTCGTTTGCTCCCCTGCGCCATCCACAGTAAGTCTTAGTAGCCGCGGATTCTGGTGGAAGGTTCTGAGTGCGGAATTTGGCTCCCTTGCTACTCGTAAACCGGTGAGCCGACTGCAAGCTGTCTGGTCCAATCCTAGGCCTTATAAGCCGTATAACCCAGATCCCAGATCTCAAAAAAGCCGGAAGCCCTTTTAATCCTATAGCGCAATCCTGGCTCCTGGCATACATAAGCCTAAGCACCCCGCCCCACACCCAAATCTTTGGTCCAGGTCATGTTCGGCACTCTGACATCGGGGCTGACACAGCGGCACATCATTGCCCCAGAGCGGAAGACAAGAGTCAAGCCGACGAATCGTTTGTAACCCTAAACCCTAAACCCTAAACCAAACCGTAGACGCTCAACCGACCTTACCTACCTTGCTCCAGGGGTCCGAGAGACATCCGTGGCAGTATGACCTTAAAAACCTTTGTTAGAATCAGAAGTATTGTATAGCACACTCCCAACAGTCTTTCTACTTGTCAAGGTGTTTTTTGGAGTGCCAAAACATTTACAACATCTACAAATTGGTAATCTCTGGTGCAACTGGAGATTTCGAAGATAAGGGACCCCAAATAGCGGAATCCGCATTCTAAACACGCCAGCCAAGGGAAATAACATGGTTAAGAAACTATGTCTACAAGCTTTAATGTCATCAACACCATGCGAAGCCTTCGTGGAGCCCTGCAGAACGCCTATGAATAAGCTCATTTTCAGAAAGCATTCAACATGTGGGTAGTTGTCAAAACTAAGCATTCAACATGTGGGTAGTTGTCAAAATTAAGGTCACTTCTTGGGTACCCTAAATATGAAAACGGGACCATAATTTTGACAACCACCCATGTGTAAATTCCAACCACTTCAAGGCGCGCTGACTCTGATATAGAGGTCGCATAGTTACTGGCTATAACCCCTGATCGTCCCTAATGCAACCAGAAGAGCTGTAACATGCAGGCAACAGGGACCAAACGGAGCTCTATTACTTCTAACCATTACAGCACCACTATGCTTGCACCATAGTATTCCTCAAAACTCTGTTCTTTATTATTAAGGTCTCTGCATAATTAGCCTACGAAACCCTGCTACATCCTGATTAGTTAATCCCGCAGATGCTTCTTCAAACCACCACACCCTCGTGAATCCCAACTGCGTCCCTGAATGAAACCCTTATACTGTGAACCAAAAGCGCGAACCGTCACGGCTTCATTCCGCATTGCATTCGAGACTGAACCCAAACCACCGAAAAATCTTCCTTGTGTCCTTGCGTACACCCTTTTCCGTAAAACCTAAACCCCTAAAAGTAGGTAGACTAATGGCCCAATACCCTATAAGAGGCCATTATTCTACATACTTTTGGGGTCCAGGAATTCTTAAAACCCTAAACCCTAAACCGGTTAAAAAAAGCTTAAACCGGCCTGAACCATGAACCGAATTCCTCTTGAGACCCTTCGTTACTTGAGCCCAAGGATGGTAGTGGCCAGCGTCAGCTTGCGACCTTGAAGTCGTACCTGCACTCTGGCGAAGTTTTAAAGATATTTTAAACTGCAATATACGGGCCTTAATTAGAGGAGTAAGGTTTTGGGGTATATACTACCGTAGAACCAGGGAATATGAGGAGGTGCAATATCGGGTTCGGATTTGTGGAGCTTGATTGGGCTTAGGGTTTAGGGATGTTTACGGTTTAGGGTTCAGGGTTGACGGAGAGTCTTCTAGCATTTTTAAGGTTTTGTAAGTGAGAAGGCCTTAAGCACCAAAGGAACCAAAGAGCGCTAGGGTTCAGCGCCCCAAAGGGTCCTGTGTACTGTTATGGGGGATACTTCCCTAAATCATAATGGTAATTCCTAATATAGAAACCCTACATTCTACTATAAAGGTACTTTGGACCCTTTGGGAGCTGGATTTCAGGGCGTAGAGGACTGGGCTTCTCGGGATTAAAACGCAAACAAACCCCAAAGAGTCTTTGCCACATATGGGGGATTCCGAAAATTCGAGGTACCTTATTGTGGGGGTCCTTATAATAAGGATCCTTCTGTTTGGGGTACTAAATTAGGGTCCCCTCTTTTCGGAAACTCCCATATCTCATATAGGGCCTTCTTGTTAGTCACAGCTATAAAATATTGAGCCACAGTCTGATTAAAAGACGATCTGGTCCCGAAAAGCTCTGTTGAGTCTTTAGGTCATATTCTAGGCTCTCGGGTTGAGGGGCTTTGGGTTTAGGGTTTGGGCTCTGGGTTTGGGGTTTAGGGTTTAGGGATCAGGGGGTTTAGGGTTTGGGCTTTGGGTTTGGAGTTTAGGGTCTGGGCTTTGGGAGGGTTTAGGGTTTTTTTTTGGGGGGGGGTTAGGGTTTGCTTCGGGTGCCGCAGTCACCTAACGACGAGGCATTTGGATTTAGGATCGCAATAACGTGAGGTCTTGCAAGATTTTGCGAGTGTAAACTGCCAAGCCCTCACCCCCTGAGCCCTCAAAACGTGACGACTCTAAACTCGAAAAGTCGATCAGCGGAACATCTCGAAGACTCCATTAAATCCAGTTAGAAGCCCTACCCCAACCCCTCAAAATCCCCGCCGACCGATGGCTTCTTTTTAGCTTTATTATGATTTTCACTTCGTTACATGGTTCCTGTTAAGCGTAGGCTTTTTGGACCACGGGTAGTTAAGTATCCACAGGCGGCAGAACAACCTGCCCAAGAATCTCATGAAGCGCCTGTTGCGCAATGCGAAGCATGCCACCGGGACCTGTCAATGCGGGGTGCCGAATCTGTAGCTACAGTTTCCATTTAGGGCCTTATATATAGGGTTTCTTGATGTAGTTGCACGGTACTATACCCCAAAGCCGCTTCATGTGAAGACCCTTGTACGATGTGGAAGTGTCTCATACTACCTTTGCTATCTTCGGGATGGCACTTGACTTTTCGGTTCCTGTGTTGATGCAACTGTAGACCGCTGAGTTAAATCAATCTTCTGTAGTCAGCGTTCTTCGTTAGACGGTTTGGGGTCTTGGGCTTTGGGTTTAGGGTTCGTTACTGTTCGTGAAGAACACCAAGTACAACCCGACTACAGCTAGCTGTCATCATCTGGCGCTTACGGCACAGCAAGTCCTAAACCTTGAAGCCTCAAGCATCATAGGAGACCGACGAGTTTCTGGAAGGGGTCACGAACACAACCACTTCGCAACTTGGAGTTCATTCCGGATTCTGTGTTCACCTAGTGCACCTTCGTTCAAAAATTGAAATCTAAAGCCTGAGCCGTAAACCCTCATTCTAGGCCCCAAAATATTAAAACTACTCTCCAAAGTTTGGGGAGTATTGGGTTTGAAACCCAACCACCCAAGCCCTGAAAACTCTGAACCCTGACGCTTAACCCTAAATTCCAATCTCAAAGCCACACCGATCTCAGCGCATCCAGGCGATATCTGGCGATCTCAATGCCGATGCCGTGCAGCTTCTGACAGCACCAAGGCTTTTGAATTTAGGGTTTGAATGTTTTGGGTGTAAAGGTTTGAGGTCAAGGGGTGGGACAGGCTTAGGGTTTGCGGTATACACAGTTTCGCAGTTCATATTCGAGGTTTCGGGACAATGTGACCCGCAGTACCAGATAGACCCTGAAACCCTTGCTGATGAACTCCAACCCCGAAACTCTTAACGCGTGAAAGTAGAGGCCCAGAAACTTGGAACATCAAGATATTCCTTCCCATACCTTCTTTAGGGGTCCTTACAATCTCTCCACTATACTATGGGTTACCGGTATATTGCTACAGAAGTCCCGATTTGTCCATAGGGACTATAAGGGGAATGCCCGTTCAGAGCCCTACACGGGCATTTCCTCAGAGATATTTCAAGTTGAAGGTCCGACATGTAAACCCCACTGTCAGAACCTAGGCCCTGGGACTATAGAACCCAAAGGGTCCTATGTACTGTTATGGGGGAGGCTTCCCCAAATCATAATAGTAATTCCTAATATAGAAACCCTACATTCTACTATAAAGGTACTTTGGACCCTTTGGGGAAGGAAATCAGCTTAACTTAGTAGCTGATTTCGTAAGATTGAACCTGAAACTCTTGGGGTTTTCATAACCCTACCATACTTTTTACCTTAAGCTTTGATGGTTTATATATAACCCTACCATACTTGAAAAGGTTTAGCTTTTTTGGGCCAGGGTAAGAGAAGGACTCCGAAAAGCCTGGTGATGGTCGGTGCCGAGTGCCAAACCCTGAAACCCTGTCTAAACCCCGAAAAGTGGGTAACATAATGGCCCAAAACCCTATAAAATGCGACTATTCTACTTTTGGGGTCTAGGTGTAAGCTCTATCACTCCGGGACACAAGTCTCAAGTTGTCTCTAAGCTCAAAGATCCTCAAGCCCGAAGCTCTCAAGCACTCAGCTCCTAAGCCCTAAAAGCTAAACCCTAAAGACCCCAGAAGCTCAAAGCACTCGCGCTGAGGTGATCTCCGAGCCTCTGAAAATTCAGATGCACTTTGAGATGTATTCACGCCTCTCGACTATTTTAGGTCTTAAGGGTCTGGGATTTAGGGCAGAGGCTTGAAACCCGGCCTGGCTACGGCTTTGTCGGGATCGAATCAGAGATCTAAATCTTGCATGCAGGGGCCTACAGGAATCTATGCCGTGAAAGCGTGCTGTAGTGTAAGGCTGATGAGAGTTCTGAGGGGTTCACGCTTTGGGGCTTAAGCGGCTGAAAGGCCTAGTTGAAGGATTGTTGCACTTGACCAGTCACAGGCACCCTACCAGGCTTGCTTGTATTAAAGATAGGATACCTTAGGTTTGCTTGCGGTCCTCATCTCCCTCGTTGCATTCAATCCGGCCGTAGGGAGTAGTTGCAGTCCCCGTTGAAGCAGGATGTGGGAGGTTTGGATTTGGGGCTCCCAAGCTTGATTCGCAGATCTCATGCGTTGTAATACACACCTGTCCGTGAAAAATATCGAAACACGAATATATGGGATAGGATAGAACAAAGCCAAGCCCAACAAAAGCAACAAAAACGCACTGTCAAAAGATCAGACTACAAAGAACTCCTATAAACCCTAAATCCCCAAACCCGACACCCTTCAAAGTTTAGGGTTTAAACCTAAGCCTAAACCCTATAAACTGCAAACCCCTCTACCCTACAAGCCCAAAACCCTATACCAAGGCATTCTGCAGCACCATCCCTTCTTCCGGGACCTCCTCGCGGACGGCAATGCACTCGTCCGGCGCATGTGCCACCAGGCTCCAGGGCGCCCCCAGGGTCCCGTTTTAGGAGATTTAGGTGTTAGGGTTTAGGGGTTCAGGGTTTAGGGGTTCTAGGGTTTAGGGGTTCAGGGAAGGGTTT